AAATACTATAATAATACAAAATTTCGTAATGAAGTTAAATCAAAAGCTAATATACATATTTTGAATAAATATCATAATAATACAAAATTTCGAGATGAATATAAAGCACGTATGAACATGCAAGTTTCGAAGAAATATAAATCTAATAAATCGATACGATTGAAAATGATTCACAGTGCTTTGAATTGGTATCAAAATAACAATACATTGATAAGAAAAAATTCAAGACGTCTTTATAATCAGCGTAGACGTATTTTAAAAAAATATACTGTTATTCAAAGCCATAAATGTGCAGTTAAACATCAAAATTTATATATGAATAACTTGAATAGATTTCGAAAAATTATTCGAGAAGGACCTGATTATGTGTGTTTATCATGTGGATTAGCACTTTTTCGTAACCAAGTGATGCCATTCGTTGAACAAAAATACATAAAAGAAAGCATGTCATATGAAATAAAGAAACGTATTCAATCTTACTTTAACTATTCATTACTAAGAGAAAGAAAATGGATTTGTAAATCATGTTCAGACAAAATAAAGAAACGACAAATGCCAAGCCGAGCAGTCGTGAATAAATTGAAAGTGTGTGACGTTCCGTCTGAATTGAAGAAATTAAATAATCTTGAAAAACATTTGATTGCTTTACGATTACCTTTTATGAAAATTGTAAACTTAACATCAGGAAAATTATCAAGTAGATTATCACAAAAAGGTACTAAAGGGCCACTTCATTGTGTGCCATCAGATGTACAAGACACTGTAACTATATTACCTCGTCCAGTTGATAAATCCATGATGGTCCGATTACAACTGAAACGACGCATAAAGTACAAAGCTGTATGGGAAGAACAATTAATAAATCCAAATGACGTAAGAGATGCACTATTTGTTTTAACTAAGATGCATCCAGCATATAAAAGTATAAAGATAAATGAAATTCATGAAAACTATCTTACATCTGATCAAGAAAAAAACTACGACAATAACGTTGAGTTAGTAGTTGAACCAATGGATGTTGGCACCATATCAGAAGAGACTGTCATTGAACAAACAGAAATATCTAATGAAAATAATCTAAAAAGATTAGCTTTAGGTGATATTGATAATACTTTTGACAGTGATGAAGAAATAAATGAGGATGAACAAGACATTCGTACTAAATATAATATTGGTACAGATTCATGTACTCAACCATGTGATTTTAATGATTTTTTAGTCTTTGACAAAGAGCCATGCGTAGTAGCACCAGCTGAAAAAAATAAATTAAGTTCATTATTAACAGATAAAACAATTGAAGCATTAGCCTTTCCTCATTTATTTCCAGATGGTCAAGGCTCATATGACGAAGATCGTCAAACAATTCTTAGATGGAAAGAATATTGTAAAGCACGTTTATTTTCATCAGATTCTCGTTTTGCTTCAGATTCAAGTTACATTTTTTATCTACAGTATTTAGGTGATTTGAAACAAGTATACTCCGGAATCAATATTGCTTTCCGAAAAAAATTACCAATGAATGCTAAACAAAGCTTAGATGAAATGCAAATGAAATTTCTTATGAATAAAGATATGATATATCGTCATTTGCAATGTGTTCGAGGTAGTCCACAATATTGGTATAAACGTTTAAAAGACTTATTCGGAATGACACGTCAACTAGGTTTTCCAACCTTTTTTCTTACACTATCATGTGCTGATCTACGTTGGAAAGAATTCACTGATACTTTTGTACGTCACACTGGAGCTCCAATAAAAGAATCATATACATTTAAAGAAAAAACAAAGCTTTTACGTGCGAATCCTGTTCTAGCTGCACGTTTGTTTGAAAAACGATTTAATACATTTATGAATTTATTTATTAAAGGTGGAGCATCGTGTCTAGGTATTGTAGAAGACTGGTTTGCTCGTATAGAAATGCAAATGCGAGGTTCACCACATTCTCACATGCCACTTTGGGTAAAAGGTGCACCTGTTTACATTGGATTACAAACCGATGAAAAAACTCGTGAGGAAATCGTTAAATTTTGTGACAAATATATTACCACACGATTCCCATCATTAGAAGAAGATCCAATATTACACTATCTTGTCAAAGAATTACAGTTTCATTCTCGTAATCATTCAAAGTCTTGTTTAAAATTGTATAAAATGTTGTGTCGTTTTGGATTTCCTCGGCCTGTTGCTCGACGGACATTCATTTGTGAACCATTAAAAGCTGAGAATGATGATGATAAACAAAAATTTAAAAAAATGAAAGAAATTCTTACTGAAATGAATGCAACGATGAATAAATTAGAAAAAGAAAAAATTTTGTCATGGTCGGATTTTGATAATCTTCTAGCAAAGTATAATTGGACCTATGAGGATTACGAATGTGCTCTTCGTGTTGTTCATACTAGAACGACCATGATTCATAAAAGAGAACCTAATGCACGATGGGTTAATCAATATAATGAAGAAATATTGAGAACATGGAATGCTAATATGGATATTCAATTCGTACTTGATCCATATGCTTGTGCAAAATATCTTATGTCATATACAACAAAACCAGAACGAGAAATGAGTTTATTATTAGAAGCAACTCATAAAGAATGTCGTGAAGGAAATATGTCCGTTCGAGAAGAAATGAAAAAATTAACAGGTACATTTTTTAATCATCGACAAGTCAGTGTACAGGAGGCTATTTACCGTGCAACTAAAATGCCACTAACATATTCAAGTCGAGGTTTTGTTTTTGTACCAGCACATTCAAATAGTTGTAAATTTTTAAAATCACAAAATATATTAAAAGAATTGGATCCAGATGACGAAAATATATATATGTCTAACTTAGCTGACAAATATTTTGATAGACCAGAAGAACCGGAATTCGATATTTGTATGGCAGATTTTGCTTCTGAATATGAAATCATATCGATTAATAAAAACATTAAAAATCCAAAGACTCCAATTAAACGATTACAAACATTAAATTTTGCTATTAAGAAACGTTGTAATCGTAATGCTATTATACGTTATCCATATTTTAATCGAGAAACAGATAGAGAAAATTATTTTGAAAATCTTCTTTCTCTCTATTTACCGATAAGAAGTCGAAATGAATTGAAAAAACCTTATGAATTATTTTATCAAATTGGTGAAGTTTTTGATGCTCGACAACAATGTATAAGAAAAGTAAAAGATATTGTGCATGAAAACCAAAGAAAATATGAAGCTCATGTCAAAGAAACAGGTGAAACAGAATCATTATTCAATGAATTATCATTGAATATGAAAGACGACGAATGGGCTGAAATTGTTGCTAACAGAGAAAAAGATAGTATGTGGTCAAGAGAAATTGAACAAGAAGATAATCCTGATTTCAATGTAATTCATAAAAGTAAAAATAAAAAAACGTTCATTGACTTGAAGCAAACTTTTGCTACTACAGATGAAATAAGACCCTTCTTAGAATCGATGAACTATGAACAACAAGAAGTATTTTATTATGTTCGAGAATGGTGTACAAAACGTTTACATAATCCTGATGTCGAACCTCTTCGTTTGTTCATTAC